ACATACATACATACATACATACATACATACATACATACATACATACATACAAGAAAGACCCTTTAAAATCAAAACTTTCAAGCAAATTTGATTTCCTACAAATAAAAGGTAGCAGCACAAGTTATAACCATTGAATTTAGGGACAACCAGGCACTGGAGAAATGGCTCAGTGGTCAAGCACACACGTGCTAGGAAAGAATGAGACTCCGGATCCCAGAGTTCATATAAAAAGTGGGTGTGGCCAAAGATATGCCTGAAACCTCAGAGCTGTGCAGGTGGAGATGGACATCACTGGGGATTGCTGGGCACCAGGCCAGCTCCAGGCTCCATGGAAGACCCTGTCTCCAAGAAACAGAGCAGACAGTGACAGAGCAGGCCACCTAACGTCCACCGTCCCCAGGCCTCCTTTCATACACAGGGAGACACTGAATCATAAAACACAGGAGCGACTGGACACACAATCCAAGGGTTGACTTTCGCCCTTCTTGAAGGTGATAACCCAAGACTGGGCGAATGGGGCACTCTGTTTAGAGGCTGTAAAGGGACAGATGATATGGCTGATAAACTTCCTTTTATCCCTGGCACTCACAAACTTCTGTAAAAACTTACTTCCCAATATTCTCTGGAAGAGACTGCAGTGAGATGTCATTTACAGAGAGACATGTCAAGTTCTGTAGTTCGGGAAAGCTCTCAGGCAGCCTGGAACAACAATAACAACAAATACGTTAATTTTAAGAAGTAGAACGGAGTACACCAAGCACAGATACAGACTTCCTCCACAGGCCGGCCGCAACAGCCTCTTGCAGTTATGATAGAATATCTGCCTTGTCTTCCTGTATCTACTACACCCGTGTATAGAAACAAAAGGCTTTGTCCATCAAAGGGAAGTACAGGCCACGTAGATACTTGTTGATTGGGTGATGCAATTAAGGGAAAAATATTTGCAAAGGGTAGATGCTCAAGGTCTAATAAAGAGTGGGTGCTGTGGAGTGCTGAGTGCTCTGTAAGAGGAAAGCTGCTGCCACTGGAGCCAAATTTGCTGAAAATTCGGCTGGATGTGATGGCACACACATTTAAACCTGGCATTCACAGTGAGTTCCAGGCCAGCCAAGGCTGCACAGAGAGACCCCATCTCAAACAAACAAACAAAAAAAAAATCCTAAGAAACAAACCAAAACGGAAACCTGCTGAGAATGAAAATGCTGTACTGATTAGATGAAAGTGCAGAGAAAATTTAGCTATAGCCGATGGGGGTTTAAGCTGCCAAACAGCTGCTCAATAGTCCTCCCCTTGCGGCTCCTCATGCCCACCCAGAGCAAAGGGTTACTCTGCACTGATGGGCCACCAGCCAACCGCTACTGTCTGAACTTCTTTTTTAACTCAACATGTCACTCATTTAAGATAATCTTATCTTCTACTGCACAGTCGACACAAAGGCACTTTAATATGTCTCAGAGTCCACAAAAATAGTAAGGACTCGATACAAAAATCATTATTTAAATTTTGCAAAGAAATATTCCTACAGTTACCTGGATTTGGAGGAGAAACATCAGGACTAAAGTAAAATGAGATGCAACACACACATCTCCAGCATAGGCAGACCTTTGGCTTTAGTAATGAGCTCTTGATCACTATACTTGTTTTTATTCTTTTGCTAGGTTCATTTGCATAATAAATCCTGTATTGATGTTTAATATTTAATATAGGTTAATTTCATAATTCAAAACCAAATCTAGGTACCCAAGAACAGGGTATTAGCAGGAATGTTTTATTATGTTGGGAGTAGCTTGCTGAAGATTATTATTTATAACCCAAAAGAGAGAACTTACTTGGTCTGTCTTGAACTTTGCCACATAATTTCAAATGCAGGTTAATTGTTCATAAAGCAAGCAAAATGTGTTAGCGAGCTGGTCCACCTTTCTGCCAGCTGCTAGCAGTAAGAGTAGCATGTTTGAGAGTAGCATGCATGAGTGTAGCGTGCTTGAGTGTAGCATGTATGAGATTCGCATGATGAGGAAGCAGAAGCAGGGTGAGGCAGTTTAGATGTTGTCTACACTAGCTGCACGATGTAGAGGTCCGTTCACCTCGCTGAGGTTCGGTTTCCTCAGCCATAAGCTAAGCAGGAAGAAGCCAAGTAATTACCAAGTTGCCATCATTAAGATGTTAAGATAACATCTTAATTCTTAATATATCAGGACACCTGCCAAACTGAAATGGCTTTTCTCTGAGAATCCCGCCGCATACGAGGCCAGGATAAAAACAGGAATGAAGCCTCACATAAGCTGGGTGTGTTCTGGGCCTGGGGATAATTGTGGACTCAATTGTTAGCAGACATTAGAAAGAGAAAAATAGAAAACCAGAAGGCGATTTAAATGACTGATTGGCTAAGCCTCAGCTGCAGCAGAGAGTACTTCCCAGCTCGCCCAGAGATAAAAGCTGCCTTAAGCTCAGCTCGCTGGGCTCCATAAGCAGTAAGCGAGCACTTCCTTCAAGGGTTACCGCTGGAGTATCAGTCTCAGGAAAGGCCCCTGTGCTCAGATTTTTTGGTTCTGTTGCTCTCCTTGTGGAGTTCCTGTCCTCTCCAGATCTTACTGTTTCCCACTTCTCTCATAAGATTCCCTGCACTCTGACCAAAGGTTGCCAGTAAGTCTCAGCGTCTGCATTGATAGTGTGCAGGCCAGAGCCTTTCAGAGGTCCTCTGTGTCAGGCTCCTAACTTGTTCTCTCTTTTCGCCTTGTTCTGATGTTCATCCTCTTTGCCTTTCTGGATAGGGATTGAGCATTTTAGCAAGAGTCCTCCCTCTTCATTAGTTTCTTTAGGTGTGCAGATTTTAGTAGGTTTATCCTATATTATATGTCTATATGAGTGAGTATATACTATGTGCATCTTTCTGCTTCTGGGATAGCTCACTCAGGACGATCTTTTCCAGATCCCACCATTTACCTGCAAATTTCATGATTTCCTAGTTTTTATTGCTGAGTAATATTCCACCGTGTAGATATACCACAATTTGTGCATCCATTCCTCCACTGCACAGATGTAGCCCATGGCAGTTCAGTTTCCAAGTGGGTTCCACTGTAATAGGAACAGGGACTGTCTCTGACATGAACTGATTGGCCTGCTCTTTAATTACCTCCCCCTGAGGGGGGAAGCAGCATTACCAGGCCACAGAAGAAGACAATGCAGCCACTCCTGATGAGACCTAATTGACTAGGATCAGAAGGAAGGAAAAGAAGACCTCACCTATCAGTGGACTTGGGGAGGGGCATGCATGCAGAGAGTGGGAGAAGGGAGGTCTTGGGACAGGAGGAGGGAGGAAACCACAGGAGGGATACAAAGTGAATAAAGTGTAATTAATAAAGAATTTAAAAAGTTTAAAAAGAAAAGAGTTACCGTTGGGCTGGAGATAAAATAATAGTAAGTGAGGGAGAGATGCAAACCTCTTCCTCACTTCTGAGAGGAAGTCTATCAGAGGGATAGCTTAGTGTAAATTTCAAGTACTATGAACCCACACTGTGGAGAGGGTGCTGGGAAAGATGGGGGACGGAGGGGCACGGCTGAAGACAGAGGGTGTTCTACCTACAGTCTGAAGGAAGGTGTATCAGAACAGAACTGTTGGGGGCAGGGGGCTGGAAAATGAGCAAAAATGCTTCTTTGGTGCTTAGAGACTGACAAAAACAGCAGGTAACAATCAGGGTAGACTGTCTAAGCACAGAGGAGATGAGGAGGCCTCAAAGCCATGGGGGAAGCACTAGCTTATGGGACAGGAACCTGAAGAGGTTCTGAGAAGAGAGGATTGTGTGAAGGTAACCACGAAGGAGGCTGCATCTTGAGGACAGTAATGAGTTAAGAAAGGTATTAGGTTTATACAACGTAAAAGATTACTATTTTTCATTTATAAATGATCAAAATGTCAGTAGCTGAAATCCAAAAGAGAGAAACCAGAACACTGTGAAAATATATTTAATTCTTGGAAATGAGATATGGGTAAAACAAAATTAAACAGGGAATTGTTCCATACTCAAGGAGTCTCAATTTTGAAATGAATGAGATAAATCCAGTTTACTTTCAAAGAAGGGAACAGCTAGGTACAGAGCCTTGAAAAAAATCCTACAAACGAACACACTGGGCCAGAGAAAACTCTAGAATACACACCAAGTGCTGTCTCTGCACTGCCATATGGGCACCAATTTATTTATGCTGGGAACACAGACACCTGGAGGCAGGCGTCAGTGGACTTCAACTCAAGCAGGCCACAAGGAGCGTCTTCACAACACCCCTCAGCCACACAGACAGTGTTCTGTGAAGCACCAAGAAGGGCAGGGCTGCCTTCGGTAGTAAAATGGGGCAGGTGGGCATATTCATAAGGACAGACTGAAGGAAACCCCCATAAGCTATTATAAAAGTAAGGGAATAATGGTATTAAAGGGATTTTTGTTGTTTTTTTGTGGTGGGGAGGTTGTATGTTTCTTTTTATAAAAAGATGAGATTATAAATGCTTCACAACTGGACTATAAAAAGTAAGTTGAGTAAGACTTCTCAGGCTGGGGATGTAAGTTAGTGGATGAGCAAATGCCTAGTAATTGTACAGTCTCAAGGTCAATAAAGAAAAGCGTCTTCCTGTGTAAATATGCTACAATCTCTCTGGACTCAGTCTTATCCCATATATGACAAGAGATGATTGGGAATTCATTTTTAATTTATTTTTACATTTATTTAGTCTCTTTCTCTCTGTCTCTCTGACACTGACACACACACACACACACACACACACACACACCCTACAGTACTAACATAACGTGCCATGGTGCATGTGTGGAGGTCAGAAGACAACCAGTTCTCTTCCAGGAACTGAATCCTCATCGTCAGGCTTGCTGCCAAATGCCTTTACCTGCTGAGCCATTTAGCCAACCTAACTGAGAATCTTTTATGCTATGATTCTTCGTGCTGCTTCAGAAATGGACTCTAACTCCTGCTTTGTACAGCCCTCAGTGGCCCCTTGTCCTTCTTTTCAGTGACTCCATCAATACCACTGTGTGCCTTCTTCCACTGCTTATTTGCCGCCCACTGTTTACTTTGGAACATCGATTTGGAAAATCATTCATGTTAGGCAGAGACAGCGCCCCATCGGGTACGTCCCGGATGCGCTCCTTGGCTGCATCCTGTGCTCGGCTGTCAAGCATGCTACCCCAAGCGCTGTAATAGTGTGTGCAGCAGCAAGGTTACCTGGTGAGCGGGTTTCCGCTGAAGTCAGCTATCTGCAGCGCCTTACAGAAGGAGATGCTTTCCGGAATCTCAGGGATATCTAGAGGAGCAAAGAAAGTCCACCAGCACTGTTAAACATTTTCATCATTTTCAGGGCTGACTACAATCCTAAGAGAAATGCACACCTTTTACCTCACTCAGGTGTGACCCTGACTTGTTACAAACTATTTTTCTCCATTTCTTCAGAAAATATGTTCTTTAAGGAAGCATATTAAAAATGTATCGGCCCCATGAGCACAGGTTCTGGGCTAAATATTTTAGCTCACACTGTTGGAACGATGCCAACGTTTATTTGGCTGGTGGGTTAACGTGTGAGTCAAAAGACGGTCTGGTGCAAATGAGCTGGAGAGGTCTGATATTCCTTGGCATGGTGTGGGTAAAGTGAATCAAACGCACAGGGAAACTGGAAGGCCAGAGAGGATGTGCCACAGAAAACCTCCACAATGGGGAGTGCAGAGAAGACATGTCCTCTGCTCACTCTGCAAGACACAGACTTGTGAGAGGGAAACTAGACATCCAAGGAGCTGCCACTGCATCTCCCTGTATGCCAGGCTGTGGGAGTTATGGCATAACTTAAATATATGACATATATATATATATATATGTCATATATATATATATAGGACATAACATAAATCTTAGAGCAGCCAGGGTCAGGAAGCAGTACTGAAACCCTAAAGGCAAGGTGAATGCAGGCGTCATAGGGACAGCATGGGCAAAGCAATGTTCTTAATGGTCTGACATGTGTAGACCTTTGGTCCTGGGTAATTAATCATGATGTTCCTAGGAGGAAAACAGGAAGCATAAGCTTCCGCTTAAGCTATATGAGCAGAAAAGTTGTAGAATAAATGAATAGATGTCTTGAATCATAGCAACAGACATTCATGACATCTTGACCAATTTCCAGATTTTAGCTAGTTTATACGCCAGAACCACTTGAAGGAAGGGGCGGTCCTTCAGGAAGGACCCTGAAAGGTTTACTAGTCTTCTTTTATATTTTACTCCCAGCCATACCTAAAGAAAACTATGATCTTTTGTACTGGAGAAAATCAAGAGCTTTCAGAGCCTATTATATGCTAGCTCACAACTGACATCCGAAGCACTGTGGCCCTCCAGTTAAGGTAGGAACTCAACAGAGGCAGGTAATAGGATAATCGCAACTTAATCAAGCTGTGGCTCCACCCACAGCTGTTGTAGCAGACACTACAGGGCTGTCCTTATTTGAGCAGCTATTGAGCTTCCAAGGGCTTTTATCTCAATACCTATCCTTAAGGATCATGAGAAACAATTCCTTTACTCTTCTACCTCAAGCCCTGTGCCACAACTCAGCTCACAGGGATTTGGATCACTTCTCTTTTTCTGTCTACCTGCCTAATTATATTGATGACGTTATGCTGTTGGGACGGCCTTAGTAAGAAGGGAGCAACCACTCTGAACCTGTTGGTAAAGGATATGTGCATCCAAAGACAGGAAATAGGTCTGACTGAAATTCCAGGGCCTTCCACCTCAGTCACAAGTCCAGCGGTGCTGGTTATGAAGAGATAGGCCTTCTCAGGGGAAGAGTAAGTTGTTGCTCCTGACCCCTCTACTGCCAGGAAAGAAGCACAGTGCTGAGTGGGCTCCTTGGATTCTGAGGCAGCGCACTTCTCACTCTGTGGTGTTACTTTGGCCCATATACCAAGTGACTTGGAAAGTTGCTAATTTTAACTGTGGCCCAAGACAGAAGGCAGCGCTTCAACAGGTCCCCGCTGCTACGCAGGCTCTATGGTCCAAAAGACCCACAGTAATTGAGATGTCAGTGGAAGACAGATGGTACTGGACACCTTCGATGGCCCCCACTTCTAGGTACCACTGATAAGTGGACAGCTGCAGCATTACAACGTCTTTCTGGGACAACTCTGACGGGCAGTGGTGAAGGGAAATCTTCATATTGGGAAACAATTTGGGTAGTGCATATAATTGTACATTTTACTTGGAAGAGCAAACACTCAGATGTAAACAGTGATTCCTGAGCTGTGGTCACGTGGCTGAATAGTGAGAAATTTGAAAGCTCAAGAAGAATTAGAAAATTGGTGAGAAAGGCAGCAGCTGAGAAAGAAATGATGCAGACAGATTTCTCCAGTATGCAAAGGACATGAAGATACCTGCATCATGCCTAAGATCTGAACCAAAGGTCACCATCTACTAACTTACATAACGCCTTATCACAGTCATAGTTCTCCATGTAGTACTGTTCCTAACCAAGGACTCACGTCACAGCCAAAGAAGTGAGGCAGTGGGCTGGGCAAAATGGCGGCACGGCTTTTAAAGACACAGTCACGATGCCAATTAGGCCTGGGGGTCTAGAGCAGGGTTCTCCAGAAGGCTGCATCAGCATCCATTATACAGTATTGTTTCTCTTCTAGCCAGGGTTTATGGCTCTTAGAATTAAGGGGTAGAAACGGAGACTGTACCACTCACTCACCACAATCCTTGGTGACCCACTAGAAAAAAGTGTTCCTTGACCACAGGCTCTGCTGACCAAACATTTTGATTTTAGAGGGGTTAATGCTGCTGCTGGAGGTGCAACTATTCCAGACCGTCCCGGCCACTTTCAAGTTCTGACGCCTTTGAGTCAACAGGCTGAGAAATGAGTTAGGTGTTAGAAAGGATGATTCATCCAGGCTATCAGGAGGAAAGTGGACTGTTTTTGTTTTGTTTTTTATTTTTCACAATGCAAAAAAAAAGGTATATATCCAAAGCAGAAGAGATCCATTATGGTGTCTCTTGGTGGTATGGTATCCTATGATTAAGGTCAGTGAGAAACTACAGCTCAAACCAGCCAGGAATGATAAATGGCCCATAACCTACAGAAATGATGGTATGAGTCACCCCTTCAGGTAAAGAGCCAAGCAAGACCTGCTGAGTTGCTTGCTGAGAATGATGGAAATACAGAACGGGTATTAGAAAAAAGGTAGTTATAAATACCACTTAAGGCCAGATGGCCAGTTACAGAAATGAGCATTGTAATTGCCATGGGGGTTTCTGCCCTATTTTGTTAATGACAGTGTCGTTAGTTGTATGGGGGATAGTTATATCATCTTAGATAGAAACGTGGCCATTATTGTTTTCACTTGGAAGTTAAGCACAGCATAAGGACATATAATTCGGTATCAAGCTGACAAATGGTAGACTTCTGATGGCTAATCTTGATTATCAACTTCAGTAGGTCTAGAATAAACTAACAGACACATCCCTGGACAGGTCAGAAAGGGCAGTTCCTGGAAGGATGAAATGATGTTGAAAGACCTTGCCCAGAGTGGGTGGCACTTTCTGGCAGCAGCCCAGACATGAATGTGTCAGAGGGAAAGCAGGCTGCTTTTGCCTATATGCCTTCTGTCCCAACTTATGAATGCACCTACCCTGTTGCTGCCATTGCCATCAGAACCAAGCTTCTTCGGCCTTCCAACATGGACTGAAGACCAGTGGATTTTCAAGACTATGTCTGCTGAGGCTTCCAGCCTTGTGCACTGAGCAAGCACCAAGTTCTGAGTCCCTTCGGTGTACACCCAGCTACTGCCGGACTATCCGACTCAAGGAACATAAGCCAATCTACCGAATCCCCTTTTAATAAACATTCACTATGCTAGTTCTGTCCTGCACAGAGTCCTGACAAACACAAAGTAACAAAATGGAGTGAAGGGGTCTTTGCTAGTTATTAATCTGACAGAGGATGAAGATTCAGAATAAAAAACTCAAATCAAAACATTAAATAACAAAACGACAAATAATCCAACTAAAAAAATGGGCAAAAAACAAAAAACAAAAAAGCTGAAAAAGTTTTCAAATGAAGTACAAACTTTCAATAAATGCAATGCTTAACGTCCTTAGCCATTAGTGAAATGCACATGGAAACCACACTTACTCCATCTCATCCCATCAAGGAAAAGTAGGAAACCACTGGTGAGGATGGGATGGAGGCTCCAGTACACTGCTGGCAGGGAGGTAATGAGCCCGGTCACTGGCAAACCAGTCGAGTGGCTCCTCCGAACACTACATACAGAACTACCACAGTACCCGGCTATCCAGTGCCCGGGTATACACCCAAAGAGTCAAAGTCAGTATGTGGCAAAGATACCATGACCTGTTTCCTGTAGCACTCTCCGTAATAGCCAAACCATATAACCAGCCTAGCTGCCTACCGGTGCAAAAACAGGTGAAGAAAACGTAGTCTATATTCACTGCAGTTTTATTCTGCCGTAAGGAACAAAATTATGCCATTTGCAGGAAAATGGACGTGGCTATTATTGATCACATCAGCACAGTAAGGCAGTATCAAAAAGGCAAGTATCACAGATGATCCTCCTTCTATGGAATTTATGGGGAGAAGAGGATGGAGGCGGTGGAGGTGATGGCTAAACATGGTGGACACAGGCCTGCAACCCCAGCACTTGGGAAGCTGCAGCTGGAAGATCACAAGCCTGGGCTACAAGGTAAGATCCAGGATATCTGGGAGACATAATGAGATCTTATCTCAAAATCCTAACAAGTAAAAGGTGCGGGGGGAGGAGTGAGAAGCAGGACAATTAAGGATGTGGAAGAGTGAAAGGAGAGAAAGGGAGTATGTCATGTACTTGCAATGGAAACAGAATGAAGCCCATTACTTTGCGCAATCAAGAGCTTCTAACTTGAAAACTGACAAAGAGAAGAGAAGAACATGAGCCTGCCATGGGAGCAGCACTGCTGTCTCCGCAACCTAGGCAACTGCAGGACACGAGCCTGGCTTGGTCTGTAAAGCGCTCACCAGCCTGGACAGACCCTGGCAGCCCCTTCCTGCCACTACTCTGGGAGTGCTAGGTCTGCATGATGTTGGGGAAAGAGGTGCTTTATAATTCCCAAGGAGGAGGATGCAGCCACACCTGAAAATATAAAGTCTGTAGAGGCTTGACGTCCCACCAATGAAAACAAGCAGCTTTTAAGGGGGGAAAATGATATGCACCTCAGGGAGGAGACTTCCATTCGGTCTGGGTCATCAGGAATATCGCTGAGGCCTGAGAAGAC